AATACCTCCTGGCCTGATGACTTTTGGCGTTGTTGTTTTTCCAGAAGTCTGTCCAACAGATCTCTACAGCTCGTTCCATAATCATCAACCTCCTCTGTCAGAAACGGACACTTTTCTAGTTGAGGCAGGATAAGTTCATTGTAAACTGTAACATAAATTTCATAACACATACATTAAAATACATACATTGTATGATTTTCGTGTGGATGTTTTACTAAAATCTATGTAGTTTTACAAATGGTACTACATACTTGTATGGACGTTGGTGCTTGCTTCCTTGAGTCCCCGGCGGAGAGCAAGGTGTACTGGTGTATTGCCGTCCTCATCGGTGCTATACGGGTTCACACCAACCTCCAGTAAATACCTACAACACAATCATCCAATTAACACCAATTAGCAACCATCATCATAAAGTTATCCAATTAAAACCCTTCATGACAAGGCTGTCAAATAACATCTCAGGTGCTGGACACACAGAAATCACATGATGATGTGTATTTGCTGTATGATAGTATAGTATATACACATTATCACATCATATTAGTGTGTCTAGCACCTGTGGACAACACAAGATGTTCGCCATTAAACAATTTCTGTAATTACAGAACAGACATCATCACACTATCACTTTAAAACAATTTGCCTGAAGCATAACATAACTTGGGCGGATTGGTCGGGTGGTTAACACTCCGACCTTTCAAGCAGGCCGCCGGGGTTTGATCCCCGAAGTCGTCGTATGCATGGATATTCAGAGAAAGTGTTTTTCTCCTGCCCACACAACTCCCAACAACCCAGGTGGAGTATAAATTGGTCTGGGATGGATGTTGAGGTATCTGTGCTGTAGCATTCAAGTGAGGTGGCACTATAAATGATGCCTTTGGAAGCACGGTCCAACTACAAACAGGACACATCACATCTCCAGCACACACGCAGGCATATATACACATAGTCATAGGGAGATATTAGCCAGGTGGCATAGGACTAGTAGTTAGCGCCTAATAAGGCAGCTCCTGTGAATTCCTCAAAATTGTATTTATTAATGTATGCTAATTGTATTAATTGTATATATATGTACTGTAAAGCGCTTTAGAGTGGCTTATTTTAGCTAGATAGGGTGCTACCGGTATATCAAATGTTGTATATTATCATTATTATTATTATTTATAACTTACACAGATAAAACAGCATGCTCACCATTAAATGATGTCTAATAGTTCTATGCTACAACAAATAAGGTAGACAACACAACAAACTCACCGACACACACCGCCAAGCCCATATTTACTACAGTAATGGAGGAGATTGCGGCGCTTGGACAATTCTACAGTTGTGAGGTCAATGTTATGCTTGGCTACATAGGACCGCATGCGTGCCGGTCGGTCCTCCTTGGTGTAACGCTTTAGTTTGTACACTTGACAGTGTGAACATTTTTGCTTCCCCATCATTTAAAAACACTGCAATGATATCAATCAACACTACATTTAAGTCTTAAGAAGTAAGTTTTATGTAAGCTCTAAATTGCTTTCAGTTGAATTCATGATCATTATAAAGTCAATATAAATGCCATCTGGAAATTAATTCAGAGATTTCATACAGTTTGTTAGCTTTTCAAAATAATGTAAACATTTTTTTTTCATAAAACAGAGCTATAAAGGGTAAGTTTTTTTGGGGTTTTTTATTCAACTTTTTTTCATAATCACATTTTACTACAGTTACATGCACATTACAATTGTTTGATATAACTATTTTCATTCTGTAACTATATACCCATCAGAATCGGTATATATATATATATATATATATATNTCATTTCTATTTTGAATACATTTAGATGTGAAGTTATCGACAGGAATATATGGCTCTAAAGACTTTACCCAAAATATATTAACAATGTCAGCTCAGTTAAGCAAGTAAATGATTGATAAAAATCCATTTGCATTTGATTTTTTCTTGCTTTTTGTTGTGATAGGCATACAGACCCATATCTTCTATTTTATTATAAAACTTAAGGTATGTTTTCCCTTCCAGAAAGGTAGGAGCTGTGTTTTTTAACTTACATGAATATATATAGTATCTCATAATGAGCAATAAAAAATTAATCTTGTCTCCATGTTCTTTTTCTATTACACCAAAAATAAAAGTTGTTGTGTGTTTGGGCAAGGTAATTTGGTACTTATTTTCTAGCATATCTATCAGCCATAACCAAAAAGTTTTTATTATACTGCATTCCCAAAAAAGATGCATATAATAAGTTTCTCTCTCATTTGTACAAAATATGCATCTTTCAGTTTCAGCTAATTTGCATCTCATTCATTTTGTATAAAGGGTAAGTTGCTCTTAAAATTACCATCATGATGTCAGAATAGTCTGAGATACTTGCCAATCTCTCAATCATTTTACAAGGGAAAAATCTAGGGCTGTGAACATACATGGGAAAACCAGTAATTGAAATACACAGACATACCATATAATATCCAAATACAGAAATGAAATATCATTGTGTAGCAAATTCTTTCAAAAGCTTACTTTCACGTATCTGCTAGCTGGTGTTTTAACTTTGCAAATTCACTGCACATTCCAACAGGTATGCCAGTATCAGGCTATTATTAATGTCAATGTTCCCAAAATGGGACACTTTTGAGAAAGTGGTGTATTGCAACTCAAAGAAGTATTTTTATATAAATAATTTTCACTACAAGATACTTTTATGTTAATTTAACTGTGTATCAACTTTAATGGCTGCTGATTATGGTTACAGCACGATCATTTCATTTGTTTACATTATGAATGTGGTCTGCTTGTTATCATATGGCTGCAAGTATTGTAGGACCGTCGACTGCACTTAGAGTGCAGTGCTGTGTTTCCAATCCATATCATTCGGGTTATTGTCTTACCTTCCGTTGTTTGGAAGTTGTGATTACGACATTTCAACCACAAATGTCTTCAATACACATCACACATGACATTTCTACGTTTTGATTAAAAATGTACGAGACGTCTTCCCGTCGTTTGAATGAACTTCCGGTGAGCCTCGAAGTGAAACCGAAAGTAGACATATGTTTATATCTCAAGTAAACCAGATTAAATCGTTTTTACGATGCCATTTTGTTCTTTGTCTAGCAAAGTAATGGTAATGAAACTTAATTTCCATATTTAATTCACCATATTTTGCAAATCATTCCTAGGAGAAATATGAAAATCATTGTCGGATACGATGCTGTAGGTTTAGAAATTTAGTTTGTTGATGCAGAAAGCTAAACAGAGTAATGATTTACTGACCATCTGTCCATTTACTGACCATCTGTCAATTTACTGACCATATGTCCATTTAGTCCATTTAGGACTCATCGGTGGCACAATGGCCAAAAGAATGAAATTAAATAATATTCACGAATTCATATGCACAAATCAGCGTCATTATTACATGATGGCTTGTACAGATCAGTGCTTTTACAATGGATTTTTTTTTAAATTCATAGAAAAAAAAGAGATCACATAAATATCTTGGTGTCCAACACCGTACAAATGTATAATATTAACAAGAGGGCCCTGAAACATCTTTGTGTCAAACACCGTACAAACGTATAATATTAACAAGAGGCCCCTGAAAGATCTTGGGGCCAAAACCCGTACAAATGTATAATATTAACAAGAGGCACCAGAAAGATCTTAGTCTCCTACTCCGTACAAATGTATAATATTAACAAGGTCCCAGAAGGATCTTGGTGCCAAAACCCATACAAATGTATAATATTAACAAGGTCCCAGAAGGATCTTGGTGCCAAAACCCGTACAAATGTATAATATTAACAAGAGGCATCAGAAAGATCTTGGTGCCAAAACCCATACAAATGTATAATATTAACAAGAGGCACCAGAAAGATCTTAAACTTCTACTCCGTACAAATGTATAATATTAACAAGAGGCCCCTGTAAGATCTTGGTGTCAAACACCGTACAAATGTATAATATTAACAAGAGGTCCCTGAAACATCTTTGTGTCAAACACCGTACAAATGTATAATATTAACAAGAGGCCCCTGAAAGATCTTGGTGCCAAAACCCGTACAAATGTATAATATTAACAAGAGGCACCAGAAAGATATTGGTGCACAACTTCATAAGATCGTCATTGGTCCTTTGTAAGATAGATCTTTTCTCTTCTTATTTCTTACCTGTTAGATTCATAGTCTTGTCAACAGTAAATGCACCTTGTGGCGACTTGTGAGCAAAACTTCACACTGCTGTGTATGACATTGGCCTTTCAAAGTGAAGTTGTTATTTTACCTATTTACTTTCCTACATATGAAATTTGAAAAAAAAACACCTGTCAGATTCCTTATGAGAAATAGCAATAACAAACTTTATCTGTCAAAACCAAGACGGCTGCCCGACGGCCATCTTGTTCTTCTATCAGTCTTAAGTTGAACTATGCGCAACTAGGGACCGAAGGAAACCTACATTTGAATTTTAGAAATATTTGCCAAGTACATCTTTAGAAATAGCGTTAATAAGCCATACCTTACAAAATACAAGATGGTTGTCTGGCGGCAAACCCTTTCCTTAGGTAACAGTCAAGGAATGTGAGACAAAATACTAACTTACTGGCAAGCTCTTCCAGTGATGAGGTATAACCCGGAAACGCGTTCACAAGTTCAGCGACGTCATGATCAGTGACTAAATGGATGACCGCACATCACGTTACATTTGGTGGCAGCGGTGGGATTCTGGTATCATATAAGGTCGATTTCTGGCGGATAGGGAAGGTGCATTGGTACTCAGGGAGGATCCAAGGAATTCCCAGGCTAAGTCTCGGGACGAGACTTCTCGGACAGGGGAATGGTGTAAAAGCCAAGGAATATGAGGTAAAAAAATACTGCCTTACCGGCAAGCTAGCTTTCTCAGTGATGTGGTATAACATGGGGACACGCTCGTAAGTTCAGCAAAGTTGAGCACGGTCAGTGGCTGTATGGGTGATCGCTCTGCATAGATCAGTATCAGAATGAAGCATGCACAACTAAGGAACAAGGGTAACCTACCCAGGAAATTTGAGAAAGATCTGTTGAAATGACACTAATAAACTTGAACTCACGAAAACCGAGATGGCTACATTGTGGTCATCTCGTTTTCAGATCAGTCTCCAAATGAAACATACAAGGGAAGCCTACATATGAAATTTGTGAAAGATCTGTCAGGTATTTTTTGCGAAATAACTCAAACAAACTTGAACATATGTACCAATTGGAACTTACATATGGAATTTGAGATATGTTCATTTAGCATGTTTTAGTAAAATATCGATAACAATAATCAAGATAATTTGGATTCCGGTTGCGCACGCAGAAATGGTGTATTGAAAGAAAATTCTCGGCAACAACTCTCATCAGAAAAGTAGTTTAACTACATATAATATAATTGATCGAACGTCAAGGTTTGGTGAGAATGTAGAGAATACATATATAAAGAGATACATCAAGTCATTTTAAGGTGTGATCTTCAAGGAAATAAAGATGACGACGTGATAAGGTGTAGGGGACCATTGTTTACCTTTCTAGCACCGTGTCGCGGGAGACTAGTCAGGTGCATACTACGATCTGGACTTGGTAAATTACCAAAAATCAACAACTTTATATTTCCGGGACACAGTAGAACCTACTAAATGAGTCTATCCAGGCTCTCGAAATATCTGGACAAAACCGAAGAAGACGTCGAAAGACTGTTCAAAAATAGTCAGTTTTCCCGCCATCTTGTGTTTGTGTCGGACAGCAAAGGGAGGCAACTACGTGACCAACAAAAGGGACACGGTGTCTCAGAAATTAACTGGAACATCAAACCAGGAAAAGGTACCAGTTACCTTGTAAATTTCATCTTCGAAAATGTAGACCTGCTTGTAAAAACACACGGTGCTATTCTACTCGCGATCTGGTCCGGGACATGCGATTTAACACGCAAGGTAAGTGGCAAATACATTGACTTAAACCATTCCATCTTGCCTGAGGATATCACAAACCAATACAAAAGGCTACACTCATTAAAAGTGCGATATGGAGACAAAATAAGGATTGTCATCCTAGAGTGCCCCCACTACTCAATAAAATCTTGGAACATATTTAAAGGACACAGTAACTGCGAACTCTTTAAGGACAGCGACCAGACACTGCGTTCCAGAGTAGATCAGCTAAACGAGGGAATCCGCAATATCAACCAAACTGTATTAGGAATATGTGCACCGAAATTCTCTGAGGACCTGTGTACTTCGCGGAAAAGTAGAAAAGGCAGGACTACAACCAAGGTATCGTACGTTCTACTGAAAGATGGAGTCCCCCCTGGACCCACACTGGCCTTATACTGGATGAGGAGGGTGCTACTAACCCTAGTTAAAAATTACTGTACCTGAACCCAACAATACATGTGGGATTAAAACCTCATAAACATTATATTCAAATATATTCAAACATATATATATTAAAAATGGATTCAAACATAGGCTACAGTAGCAGCGAGGAGGACAGCTGTCAAAATCTCCAGGTAGGCAAAAGAAGACGAGACGATCACACAGACATGGAACTATTAACCTGTGGTAAATGTGAAACACTTCTAACAACCGAAGCAGGTTTCATTATGTGTGACTGTTGTGGTCTACTATTCTGCCAAGATTGCTCAAAATTGCCCAAGGAAGTTTACAGACACCTCGTAGTCAACAATATCGCGAGTGTAACCTTCAACTGTAAATCATGCAAGCGCATTCAACCCACGCTAAAAAACATTGATGACTCAATGAAAGCCCTAAACATCTCCAATGAGAAACGTATCAGAGGCATTGATACTAGAATATCAAAACTAGAAACCGACACCACTCGTCGAATAAGCCAGGAGATAAAACAAATCACAGGAGAGTATAGAGGCAAAGATGGAGAATAGTGTTAAGGCCATGGTGGATGCAAGGAACAAGGAATTGGAAGAAAGAAAAAACAAGGCGAACAGTATCGTTCTTTTCAATGTTCCGGAACAATCCGATCCTGTCCCACTAACAAACAAGGCGCGAGACGAAAATGTCATCAGGAAAATCAGTGAAGCCTTGGAAGTACAGAACCTGGCCATACTGGCACACTTCAGGATGGGCAAAAAGAAACCAGACTTTACAAGGCCTTTAGTAGCTGTCCTTGGAGAGAAAAAGCAAAGGAAAACATAACTAGAGAAAGCCAGGCTGATTAAGAACAGGATGGAAGGAGTTTTAAAACGGGTTGTGCTAACTAGGGACTTAACTCAGGATCAACGGAGGGAGAGGAAAGAAAAGCTAGAGAATAGAGAGCAAACTGCAAAGAAAGTGCTGGCTGGACCCCCACATCAAACATCACCACCAACCAGTGGTAAACTTACGCAAGGGGCGAGTGGTCACCTGATGGATGGGGATTGCTCCGCCTCAGGCCCACCCGTCCCCCAAGTAGGTAATCCACATCGCCAAATAACACACAGCCAAGACACCTACTATCACAGCAACACGAACCTAGCTCAGGATTGGAACCTCACTCCCAATAGACCAACCAACACAGGATATAGAACTTCCAGTGGTAATCCTACGGAGGGGACGAGTGGTTACCTGACGGTTGGGGATTGCTCCGCCTCGGGCCTACCCGTTCCCCAAGTGGGTAACCCACATTGACAAAAGACTCCCATCCCAGGCCCTAATTTCCACAGAAATAGGAACCAATTTGGCCCACAGGCAGTCCGTGATCTGAACTTCATGACTCCAAATAGATTGACCGGCACAGAATATGGAACGGGCTTCCCACTAAGCCCCATCATCAGGCCTAGCGTACTTACAAATGCTGTACAAGACTGTCAAGACTCGTCAATTTTTGAAAACACCACGCTAATGGACCAGGACAGCACCCTTATCTACAGACAGCAACAGATCAGATATACAACACCACGACAGTGTAACTGAAGAACCCACCTCACCAGAAGTAAAAAGAGCATAGGAAAACAGTTTTACCCTTTTAAACAGAAGTGTCTCATTTTATGAACAGACAGAATCCCTAAACGTATACTACTCCAACGTAGACGTGCTAACCTCAACTAAGAAATTAGAACTTTGCGAATACATCAGTACTGAAAACCCGGATATCATCTGCCTCACCGAGATTTTTCCAAAACTTACAAACCTACCCGTGGATACCCAGTCCTACCAATTAGAAAACAACACAGCCTTTTTCGGAAGTGATAAAATCAGAGGAGTTGTGATCTACACCAAAAATACCCTGTGTACGGAACTGGTCACAACAGAACAAGATGAACTATGCCAGGAATATGTAGCATGCACAGTCAGGCTCAACGGAACCGACCAACTTAAGATATGCTGTGTATATCGGAGCCCAAACAGTTCCACCGAAAACAACAACAAGATAAACCGACTAGTAGCAAAGCTGGATGCCACTAACACTACCCACATACTTCTGCTGGGTGACTTTAACTACAAGGAAATCGACTGGGAAAGGCAAATATCCCTAACCAGTGTGAACAACCCTACCAGTTTATTCCTTGAAAGCATCCGTGACAATTTCCTCTATCAACATATCCAACAACCAAAAAGGTATAGGGAAAATCAGATCCCCTCCATATTGGATCTAATATTCACCAACGAAGAGGGAATGGTCCAGGACGTAGACTACAGGGAAGGACTGGGTAAAAGTGACCATTTGGGAATCCAATTTAAACTCATCTGCTATTCAGATCCTCCTACTGAACATAACAACTTTTCAAAAAAGAACTTTTTCAAAGGTGACTATGAGAGCATTAACCAATCCTTAGGCGATATTGACTGTACTCATCTAGAATCTAACCAAGGAGTAGAAGAAACCTGGAACAACCTTACTGGTTTTCTCCAAAATTGTATTGACAAATTCATACCGGTGAGTAAGGGATGTATCACCAGGAAATTCCGCAACCGAGAACTGAATCTAGAGGCAAAAACGGCCATATCTGCAAAAAGGCGTCATTGGATTAAATATCTCCACTGTAAAACTACTGAGAACTTTGTGAAATACCAGGAAACCAGAAATATCGCAACAAAGGCAGTACGCAAATCTAAATACCACTACGAGGAAGATCTGGCAGCGAAAATCAAAACAAATCCAAAACTTTTCTGGACCCACGTACGATCAAAAACCAAAGTCAAATCAAGCATTGGAGGAATACAAAAACCGAATGGCGAATTTACTATCGACAATAAAGACACAGCCGACACCCTAAACAACTTCTTTGCAAGTGTTTTTGTTAAGGACCAGGATACACCACTACCACCCCTTCCTAGGAGAAACTTTCACGAACCCTTGGTAGATATTGACATTACAGAGGATTCTGTAATAAAGGCGATCAAACGGATTAACCCAACTAAATCACCAGGGCCGGACAATCTCCATCCAAAACTTATCTCCGAAACAGCTGAGGCCTTAAAGAAACCACTACAAATTGTTTTCAAGAAATCCCTGGAAAACTCCCAACTACCAACATCATGGAAAGAGGCAACAGTTACACCAATTTTTAAGAAGGGATCGAAAAAGGACCCCGGCAATTACAGACCTATCAGCTTAACGTCTGTACCATCAAAAATTATGCAACGGCTCATAAGGGACAAAATCCTCACCCACATGAATACAAATAATCTATTCACGCCGCATCAACATGGATTTAGGCCAGGGAAATCGTGCTCCACACAGCTACTCGAATCCTTGGAAGACTGGTATAGTGGACTGGAAGCTGGATACAACATAGATGTAATCTATTTAGACTTCAGTAAAGCTTTCGACAAAATTTCTCATCGCTTTCTTCTACACAAGCTTGAACAGTATGGAATAGGGGGCAAAATTCTAAGTTGGATAAGTGCTTTTCTGGATAACATGGTACAACGAGTAACAATAAGCGGGACTACTTCTAACATAAAGTCTGTCACAAGTGGGGTACCACAAGGAAGTGTTCTTGGACCGATACTGTTTCTAATCTACGTCAACGACATGCCTGATATGTTAAACTGCACAATAAAACTATTCGCAGACGACACTAAACTTTCAGCGAAAATATCATCACTAGAGGACCGGCATAATCTACAAGACAACATTACCAGCATGTGTGAGTGGACCCAAACTTGGCTAATGCAACTGAACACAACAAAATGTAAGCACCTGGAAATAGGACGAAGTCAAGGAGACCACGAATACAGACTAACCAAAGATGGAACCGAGACAACGATAACAAGAGTGGAATCCGAGAAGGACCTAGGTGTTCACATAGACAACCAACTAAAATTCAGTACCAATGCAAACTCAGCAGCAGCAAAATCAAACAGGATGCTTGGCATAGTTTTTAGGACCTTTACGTATATGAGCCCGGAAATGTTCCTAACCTTATACAAGACCATTATTCGGCCTCATCTGGAATATGCAACGCCAGTCTCGTCACCAATACTTATTCGTGACAAAACCATCATTGAAAATGTCCAAAGACGTGCAACCAAAAGGGTACCAACTTTTAAAAATCTACCCTATGAGGAGCGACTTAGGCTACTTGGATTACCGACCTTGGAATATAGAAGGGAACGTGCCGACCTAATTCAAACATACAAAATTCTAAATAACATCGATGTCCTAGACAAAGAAAAACTATTCACGGAAACAGGGAGAACTTTAACCAGGGGGCACTCCAGGAAACTCTACAAAAGACCATTTAGACTGTACAAATATGGTCAATTCTTCAGCAATAGAGTGGTGAATCTGTGGAACTCTTTAACAGACGAGGTAGTAAATTCCCCAACTCTAAACACCTTTAAGACTCGTCTTAACAACCACTGGAAGCAACACCCAGCCAAGTTCAAACCATCTTTTTATTAGACACTGTGTGACATTCTGATATGAACAGTGATACTGATAGTAGTGTGAACAGTGTATTTTAACCATACTTTTAACTATATAGGAGAGGAACTTTACTGGGAGATACGTAACTCCATATCAAACTTACTACGCGTTAATGAAATAACGTTTGTAAATAGCAACTAGAAGTCAATAGTACGCGAAAGTACGTTATACTATTAAGTAGAGAAGAAGATACATCTATACAAGCCCCGGCTTACCATTGATGTCAACTGAGCGAAACTGAGCGAAAGAATGACCACGGACGACAGACGGTTAAAATGGCGCACTAACTGAAGATTTGGACAATAATTAGGCTTTTTTAACCTGGAAGCCAAACAAAGTACAGACCCTTATGATGCTTTAATTCATTAATCACTCACCAGTGGTAGAAGGGCAAACTAATAAAAATTCTTATGAAAAGTTAATATACAATTTGCATGATTCTCAGCTTATAAAATGGTGATGACCTAAGAGTAAGCAAAGAGAAATGCATGAAGGCTTGTAGTCTTCATTATGTCGGACATTTGGTTAGATTATTGTTCATCTACTTATAAGTATTAGGACAGGACAACCAGTATTCATAAGGAAAACTTCTACTATAATGGTTAAAATCCAAAGGAAATTTTAATTCACATATTCCAATTTTACACCATAGCAATAAATAAGAAGTCGTTGTCACCATATTAACACATACATCTGTCTATTGTTTTTACCCACGAAGCATCATTCAAGATAGGTGCCGAGACGGTAACCCGCAACTTAATTTCACAAAAACTGCCATCTGAGGCCGTCTACATTTCTAATAGCGGTCACTTTCGCATCGTTATGTTACATAATTGTCTTCACATAGAGCATGCACCCCATCACTTAGTTTTCATCACTAGTTGAATATATCATTTGACATAGAAAACTCTGTAGAAGTCTTACTGCACACCACTCCCTGACATCGGGTCAGAATCGACGAGAACTTCAGGATCGATCAGTCTGATGTCGTCAAATGTAGTTAGATCAAACAACAGGATCTATGTAAAATAAGAAAAACAATATCAAACAAGGTCAAAAACAGAAAAAAATAAAGCTACAGGCCTCACATGTTACAAACATTGTTTTTATCGTTTTACTTTTGAGGTCTTGAACATGGGTAAACGTAATTTATTTGAACAAACTTGGTAGTCTGTCATTGCAGTATGTTACTGGCTAAATGCCATCACCCTGGACCGCTTGGTCAAACATTTGACCCCTGTGACGACATTGAAAGTGGGTCAAGTTCATTCATTCGAACAAACTTGGTAGCAATTTATTCTAGCACCAATATCAATATACTGGGTCTTTTTGCTATTGAGAAGATTTTTGACAATTTTTAAAAAGATCTTACCCCGGTAACCTTTAAAATTGGTCAAGGTTTTTCATTTGAACAACTTTGTAACCATTTATCTCTGCATGCTACTCTCCAGATCTCATCACCCTGGGCAATTGGCTGATGCAGAAGAAGCTGTTTGAGATTTTTTGATCATTTGACCACAGTGACTTTGAAAGGGGTCAAGATCATTTATTTGAACAAACTTGGTAGCAATTTACCCCAGCATGCTACTCGCCAGAAATTGAGAAGGAGTCGTTTAAGTTTAGTTTTTTTAACTTGACTCTAATGATAATGAAAGTGGATCAAGGTCATTCAGTTGAACAAAAATGTAGCCCTTCATTCCAGCAAGGTCAAATGTCACCAAACCCTCCAGTCATTATCGTAGAAAATACATATATACGCTTCAAAAGAATATGACTTTCCAACTTTTTTTCGCAAATCAATCTTGCATGAAAACATTAACTGGTCAAAAACTCCCCGTGCCGATGGAAACTCACAAAGAACCATCACACCAATACGCATTGTCAAAATGTGTCGCACGTCTAGCTGCAAAACAAGCAGAGAAGCCGGAGCCCCGTGTAACGACCACCCGGTAAGTGAATCAGGAGTCCCCGTGTAACGACCACCCGGGAAGTGAATCAGGAGTCCCCGTGTAACGACCATTCGGGAAGTGAATCAGGAGTCCCCGTGAAACGACCACTCGGTCAGTGAATCAGGAGCCCCCGTGCAACGACCACTCGGGAATCAGGAGGCCCCGTGTAACTCCCACTCGGTAAGTGAATCAGGAGTCCCCGTGTAACGACCATTCGGGAAGTGAATCAGGAGTCCCCGTGTAACGACCACTCGGTCAGTGAATCAGGAGCCCCCGTGTAGCGACCACTCGGGAATCAGGAGGCCCCGTGTAACGAGCACTCGGGATGACGATTGGATACGGCTGCTGCCGCGAGGACACTGCTCGGACATTGTGTATCTGCCCTAACTATCCAAACCGCTTGAAAGTGACCAGATGAACAGTACGGCGCTCTAACACTGGACACATCTGGACACGCCATCTTCGTACTATTTGTATTAACCTGGCCCATACCAACCCTTAGTGGGCGTTACGAGGGTCATTCAATATATTCTGTCACTAGTATCAGGAATCACAAGTATGTTTTATATATATTTTTCATCTTTCTATTGCACTACCCAGATAATTCCTAGAGATATACAATTTCCCAGATAACATTTTATTTAGAAAAGGAAAAAAGGAAGAAGTCACAGGGACTTACACCTGGTGAATAAGATGGGTGGTTAATATGCGCTACAGTCTTGCTTAAAAAACACACGTATAATATTGCTCTTGTAGGATGAGGCATTGTCGTAAATAAGCTGGATGCGATTCAAACCTTTTCTTGTTATTCATGTAGAATCTTTTGACAGACTTCAGTGCTTTGTCTCTTTGCAGTGATGGTTTCCCCTTCATTGCACGATATCTGAATCAAAGGCCCACTAGAATTGGAACAAATGGCATACAAAACGTTCTTGCCGCTTTTTATACGTCTTGATCACTGGTTTTTCTTGATTTCGCACACACTGCTTGTTATAAAAGCGACTCTGGGGTTAAAAGTAATACACCTAGGTCTCTTTAATTTCAAGCACTTAGTCAGAATGTGATGAGTGCACTGCCTTCTGAAGTGCTAACCATATGAAAACAGTATACCGGCTATCTCAGAGACAGTATACAGGCTATCTCAGAGACAGTATACCGGCTATGTCAGAGACAGTATACCGGCTATCTCAGAGACAGTATACCGGCTATGTCAGAGACAATATACCGGCTATCTCAGAGACAGTATACCGGCTATCTCAGAGACAGTATACCGGCTATCTCAGAGACAGTATACCGGCTATCTCAGAGACAGTTTACCAGCTATCTCAGAGACAGTATAATGACTATCTCAGAGACAGTATACCGACTATGTCAGAGACAGTATACCGACTATCTCAGAGACATTATACCGGCTATCTCAGAGACAGTATACCGGCTATGTCAGAGACAATATACCGGCTATCTCAGAGACAGTATACCGGCTAGCTCAGAGACAGTATACCGACTATATCAGAGACAGTATACCGGCTATCTCAGAGACAGTATTATCGGTACACAACTCTGCATATATCGACTATCTTAGAGACAGTATACCGACTATCTCAGAGATAGTATACCGGCTATCTCAGAGACAGTATACCGGCTATCTCAGAGACAGTTTACCGGCTTTCTCAGAGACAGTATACCGGCTAGCTCAGAGACAGTATACCGACTATATCAGAGACAGTATACCGACTATCTCAGAGACAGTATATCGACTATCTCGGGGACAGTATACCGACCATCGTCCTTATTGATTGCAACAATAGGCCTGGCCATGTGTCCTCTTTGATGCCAACTTTACCCTTCTCTATTTCACCCACTTGAAAACAGTTGTCAATATGACAGCAGAGTTGTTTTTATGCTGCACAAATCTGCATGTATCTGTTTAGCGGTATCGGTACACAACTCTGCATACGTCTTTTTAGCGGTATCGGTACACAACTCTGCATACGTCTGTTTGGCGGTATCGGTACACAACTCTGCATATATCTGTTTAGCGGTATCGGTACACAACGCTGCATACGTCTGTTTAGCGGTATCGGGACACAACTCTGCATATGTCTGTTTAGCGGTATCGATACACAACTCTGCATATGTCTGTTTAGAGGTATCGGTACACAACTCTGCAGTTGTCTGTTTAGCGGTATCGGTACACAACTCTGCAAATGTCTGTTTAGCGGTATCGGTACACAACTCTGCATATGCCTGTTTAGCGGTATCGGTACACAACGCTGCATATGTCTGTTTAGCGGTATCGCTACACAACTCTGCATATGTCTGTTTAGCGGTATCTGTACACAACTCTAGCTGCATGTATCTGTTTAGCGGTATCGGTACACAACTCTGCATATGTCGGTTTATAGGGATCTGTACACAAATCTGCATATGTCTGTTTACCGGTATCTGTACACAACTCTAGCTGCATGTATCTGTTTAGCGGTATCGGTACACAACTCTGCATACGTCTGTTTGGCGGTATCTGTACAGCATATCGTGCTTAAATAAAAGCGCGCATTTCAGATTTAGTCTCAACCTTCATTTTAGCGTTCAAAAGTAGCCATTATAGTCACGAGTGCATATCATTCACGATGTATAACTTGTTCGATGCTTTCAACGTTTTGCACGTGCATTGTTCTTTAAATGGTTTTACAGTCAGCCAAGGCACTAAACTATTGTATTGCTTGTTTGACGGGAGGTGTGTAGTTACAGAACTTGAATAGTCCTCGTATGTGATCGGAATAAAGTTATTTTCGCAGATGAATCGAGATAATGGACACTGTTATTCTCCGGATGAATCCAGACTCTGCTTGTTATGTGATAAAGGGGGGCATCTAGTCTGGAGACGTCGGTTAGAACTTTTTGGATGAGGAGGTATGATGTGATTACCTGGCTGGTGTACATGAAGGAAGCCGTACCAGCCTTCTTGTTGTTTGTGGCTATTTTAGTAAAGAACATTATCTAAACGGATTTTTTCAGGCTGGCAATACTCTCGCTTTTAGAACGTTATGGCTCTGGTGCTATTTTTCAAGAAGAAATCACGCCAGCGCATGTCATTCGCGTCAGCAGAACTTTTCTGCAGAAAGTAATGTTCAACTGTTGCGGGATTGACCGACATCACACTGACCAATGATTTAGTTTATGTGATCGAACTTCATTGCTGTCCTACGTGCACATTTCGGTCATACACGGTACAAAATGTTTGAGTTGAAAAAGTCGACTTACTCGGCTCTGAAATCTAATAAAAGCTGTTAATGATTGAAGTATGGCAAATCCACAAGTTCTCGATGAATACAAGAAAGTTTCGGATATTCGCACAGTCTTGTTTATATACAATACCAGACATTCCGGTTAATAGACAACACCATATATAACATTCCGCTTTATAGACAACACCAGATATAACAGTCCGGTTTATAGACAACAGCAGCTATCACATTCCGGTTTATAAACAACACCATGCATTACAGTCCGGTTTATAGAGAACACCAGATATATAATTCTGGTTTATAGACAACATCGGACATTATAGTCCGGAATGTAAACAACAAAAGACATTACAGTCCGGTATGTAAACAACACCAGACATTACATTCCGGTTAATAGTTGACATCAGACATTCAACAACGGTTTATAGACAACATCAGACATAGGCATTTTGTATCCTTACAACCTACCTGGTCGTACACAGATACCTTCCTTCCTTCTAGTGACGACACACCGGTCTCCACCAGAGCAGAAGTTCGGGGAACACGGGTCCCTCAGTGCCTGTTCCAAATATAGAATAGTTGTCAATTATAGGCTTTTATGATCTTTATTCAATTCAATATTACACATAAGAGAGATATTAACTGAAAAATATATATTATAGAATTATTGATTTTGTGATGGTGAATATGATGTTAACATGTGAGAGTATTGATGTTCATGTCACACCATACTCACATTTAGATATTGATATCCTATATAAAATAGGAGATATCTTATATCGTCTCATTTCATTTCTGTATAAGATATCTCATAAAGTATACAAAAGATATCATGTAATATGCAAGGTAGCTCATATACGACATATTAAAGATAGTTTATATAAAGTTATGAAGGGAACGATATTGCTTCTTGCATAAAAGTTAAGTTGGCTTGCCGTAGATATATTCTTTAGCAATATATTTTTACCATTACGATCAATAACTCGATGATTTTGTTGCTCTTCTATTCTGAACCCGTTACAAAGTAACTAAACCTACAACCGTAGCTAAGTGACCTACTATTCTGTACCCGATACCTAGTAAACAAACATACAACTGTAGCTAAGTGACCTACTATTCTGTACCCGTTACCTACTAAACAAACATACAACTGTAGCTAAGTGACCTACTATTCTGTACCCGTTACCTAGTAAACAAACATACAACTGTAGCTAAGTGACCTACTATTCTGTACCCGTTACCTAGTAAACAAACATACAACTGTAGCTAAGTGACCTACTATTCTGTACCCGTTACCTAGTAAACAAACATACAACTGTAGCTAAGTGACCTACTATTCTGTACCCGTTACCTAGTAAACAAACATACAACTGTAGCTAAGTGACCTACTATTCTGTACCCGTTACCTAGTAAATAAACATACAACTGTAGCTAAGTGACCTACTATTCTGTACCCGTTACCTAGTAACTAAACATACAACTGTAGCTAAGTGACCTACTATTCTGTACCCGTTACCTAGTAACTAAACCTACAACTGTAGCTAAGTGACCTACTATTCTGTACCCGTTACCTAGTAACTAAACATACAACTGTAGCTAAGTGACCTACTATTCTGTACCCGTTACCTAGTAACTAAACATACAACTGTAGCTAAGTGACCTACTATTCTGTACCCGTTACCTAGTAACTAAACATACAACTGTAGCTAAGTGACCTACTATTCTGTACCCGTTACCTAGTAACTAAACATACAACTGTAGCTAAGTGACCTACTATTCTGTACCCGTTACCTAGTAACTAAACATACAACTGTAGCTAAGTGACCTACTATTCTGTACCCGTTACCTAGTAACTAAACATACAACTGTAGCTAAGTGACCTACTATTCTGTACCCGTTACCTAGTAACTAAACATACAACTGTAGCTAAGTGACCTACTATTCTGTACCCGTTACCTAGTAACTAAACATACAACTGTAGCTAAGTGACCTACTATTCTGTACCCGTTACCTAGTAACTAAACATACAACTGTAGCTAAGTGACCTACTATTCTGTACCCGTTACCTAGTAACTAAACATACAACTGTAGCTAAGTGACCTACTATTCTGTACCCGTTACCTAGTAACTAAACATACAACTGTAGCTAAGTGACCTACTATTCTGTACCCGTTACCTAGTAACTAAACATACAACTGTAGCTAAGTGACCTACTATTCTGTACCCGTTACCTAGTAACTAAACATACAACTGTAGCTAAGTGACCTACTATTCTGTACCCGTTACCTAGTAACTAAACATACAACTGTAGCTAAGTGACCTACTATTCTGTACCCGTTACCTAGTAACTAAACATACAACTGTAGCTAAGTGACCTACTATTCTGTACCCGTTACCTAGTAACTAAACATACAACTGTAGCTAAGTGATCTACTATTCTGTACCCGTTATCTAGTAACTAAACATACAAATGTAGCTAAGTGACCTACTATTCTGTAACCAGTTACCTAGTAAATAAACATACAAATGTATCTAAGTGACCTACTAGTCTGTACCCGTTACCTAGTAAACAAACATAAAACTGTAGCTAAGTGACCTACTATTCTGTATCCGTTACCTAGTAAGTAAACCTACAACAGTAGCTAAGTGACCTACTATTCTGTACCTGTTACCTAGTAACTAAACCTTCAACTGTAGCTAGGTGACCTACTATTCTGTAGCCGTTACCTAGTAAATACACATACAACAGTTACAAGATCACCAACTAGTCTGCACCCGTTACCTAGTAACTAAACCTACAAAAACTGTTGCTAAGTGACCTACTATTCTGTACCCGTCACCTAGTAAATAAACATACAACTGTAGCTAAGTGACCTACTAATCTGTACCCGTTACCTAGTAACTAAACCTTCAACAACTGTAGCTAGGTGACCTACTATTCTGAACCCGTTACCTAGTAACTAAACCCTACAACTGAAGCTAAGTGACCTACTATTCTGTACCGGTTACCTAGTAACTAAACCTACAACTGTTGCTAACTGACCAACTAGTCTGTACCCGTTACCTAGTAACTAAACCTACAACAAATGTAGCTAAGTGACCTACTATTCAGAACCCATTACCTAGTAAATAAACCTACACCAACTGCAGCTAAGTGACCTACTATTCTGTACCCGTTACCTAGTAAATAAACATACAACTGTAGCTAAGTGACCTACTATTCTGTACCCGTTACCTAGTAACTAAACATACAACTGTAGCTAAGTGACCTACTATTCTGTACCCGTTACCTAGTAACTAAACATACAACTGTAGCTAAGTGACCTACTATTCTGTACCCGTTACCTAGTAACTAAACATACAACTGTAGCTAAGTGACCTACTATTCTGTACCCGTTACCTAGTAACTAAACATACAACTGTAGCTAAGTGACCTACTATTCTGTACCCGTTACCTAGTAACTAAACATACAACTGTAGCTAAGTGACCTACTATTCTGTACCCGTTACCTAGTAACTAAACATACAACTGTAGCTAAGTGACCTACTATTCTGTACCCGTTACCTAGTAACTAAACATACAACTGTAGCTAAGTGACCTACTATTCTGTACCCGTTACCTAGTAACTAAACATACAACTGTAGCTAAGTGACCTACTATTCTGTACCCGTTACCTAGTAACTAAACATACAACTGTAGCTAAGTGACCTACTATTCTGTACCCGTTACCTAGTAACTAAACATACAACTGTAGCTAAGTGACCTACTATTCTGTACCCGTTACCTAGTAACTAAACATACAACTGTAGCTAAGTGACCTACTATTCTGTACCCGTTACCTAGTAACTAAACATACAACTGTAGCTAAGTGACCTACTATTCTGTACCCGTTACCTAGTAACTAAACATACAACTGTAGCTAAGTGACCTACTATTCTGTACCCGTTACCTAGTAACTAAACATACAACTGTAGCTAAGTGACCTACTATTCTGTACCCGTTACCTAGTAACTAAACATACAACTGTAGCTAAGTGACCTACTATTCTGTACCCGTTACCTAGTAACTAAACATACAACTGTAGCTAAGTGACCTACTATTCTGTACCCGTTACCTAGTAACTAAACATACAACTGTAGCTAAGTGACCTACTATTCTGTACCCGTTACCTAGTAACTAAACATACAACTGTAGCTAAGTGACCTACTATTCTGTACCCGTTACCTAGTAACTAAACATACAACTGTAGCTAAGTGACCTACTATTCTGTACCCGTTACCTAGTAACTAAACATACAACTGTAGCTAAGTGACCTACTATTCTGTACCCGTTACCTAGTAACTAAACATACAACTGTAGCTAAGTGACCTACTATTCTGTACCCGTTACCTAGTAACTAAACATACAACTGTAGCTAAGTGACCTACTATTCTGTACCCGTTACCTAGTAACTAAACATACAACTGTAGCTAAGTGACCTACTATTCTGTACCCGTTACCTAGTAACTAAACATACAACTGTAGCTAAGTGACCTACTATTCTGTACCCGTTACCTAGTAACTAAACATACAACTGTAGCTAAGTGACCTACTATTCTGTACCCGTTACCTAGTAGCTAAACATACAACTGTAGCTAAGTGACCTACTATTCTGTACCCGTTACCTAGTAACTAAACATACAACTGTAGCTAAGTGACCTACTATTCTGTACCCGTTACCTAGTAACTAAACATACAACTGTAGCTAAGTGACCTACTATTCTGTACCCGTTACCTAGTAACTAAACATACAACTGTAGCTAAGTGACCTACTATTCTGTACCCGTTACCTAGTAACTAAACATACAACTGTAGCTAAGTGACCTACTATTCTGTACCCGTTACCTAGTAACTAAACATACAACTGTAGCTAAGTGATCTACTATTCTGTACCCGTTACCTAATAAATAAACATACAACTGTAGCTAAGTGACCTACTATTCTGTAGCCGTTACCTAGTAAATAAACCTACAACTGTAACTAAGTGACCTACTATAATGTACCCGTTACCTAGTAAATAAACCTACAACTGTAGCTAAGTGACTTACTGTTCTGTAACCCGTTACCTAGTAAATAAACATACAACTGTAGCTAAGTGACCTACTATTCTGAACCCGTTACCTAGTAACTAAACATACAACTGTAGCTAAGTGACCTACTATTCTGTACCCGTTACCTAGTAAACAAACATACAACTGTAGCTAAGTGACCTACTATTCTGTACCCGTTATAGGTTATATACCCGGTAACTAAACCTACATGTGACGAGGTGACTTAATTTCTTCAACTAAGAAGTTACCTATTACACCACACCTGTTATTTAGTAACAACACTAGTTACCTATTACACCGCACCTGTTACTTAGTAACAACACTAGTAGCCAAGCGCTCATGCTTACCGGTGTCTGGTTTTGAGTGTTACTAAATGCCCCGCAATAGTGAGCGAGTGACGTCACGGTTGATATACTTGTGATAAAGTTGCTCGAGGCTGACCTGAGGGAGGAGGAACTAAGACCGAGGCTACACTGCAGCGTGTCAGTGTTAAAGGTAACCCGGTCACAGTGTATCCCGTACCTCTCACACCTTCGGAGACACATGGACATACCAGCGAAATCTAGTGTTTCAATAACCGGCGAAATTACTCTGACACCTGCTCTAAACTCGACACCATTGTACCATACACTAGTCACCGGCGGCGCACTGGTTTCCGGTGCACTAGTCACTGGTGGTGTACTGCCTTCCGGTGCACTAGTCACTGGTGGCGCACTGGTTTCCGGTGCACTAGTCACTGGTGGTGTACTGGCTTCCGGTGCACTAGTCACTGGTGGTGCACTTGATTCCGCTGTACTAGTCACTGGTGGTGCACTGGTTTCCGGGACACTATCCACCGGTGGCATTTCTGTAGGTGGTATTACTGGTACACTAGCCACCGGTGGCGCACTGGTTTCCGCTGTACTAGTCACTGGTGGTGCACTTGTTTCCGGTACACTATCTACCGGTGGCATTTCTAGTGTCGGCGTAACTGGTACGCTAGCCACCGGTGGTGCACTGGTTTCAGCTATACTAGTCACTGGTGGTACACTAGTTTCCGGTACACTATCCACCGATGGCATTATTGGTTCATTATTCAACGGTGGCGCACTGGTTTCCACTGTACTAGTCACTTGTGATTTACTGGTTTCCGGTACACTTTCCACCGTTGGCATTTCTGTTGGTGGCAGTACTGGTGCACTCTCAACCGGTGTCGTAATGGTTTCCGCTGTACTAATCACTGGTGGCGCATTGGTTTCCAGGGCACTATTAACCGTTGGCATTTCTGTTGGTGGAATTACTGGTGCACTCTCAACCCGTGTCGTACTGATTTCCGCTGTCCTAGTCACTGGTGGTGCAGTGGTTTCCGCTGTAGTAGTCACTAGTGGTGCACTGGTTTCCGGTGCACTAGTCACTGGTGGTGCACTGGTTTCCGCTGTAGTAGTCACTGGTGGCGCACTGGTTCCCGCTGCACTAGTCACTGGTGGTGCACTGGTTTCCGGTACACTTTCCACCGTTGGCATTTTTGTTGGTGGCATTACTGGTGCATTCTCAACCGGTGTCGTACTGGTTTCCGCTGTACTAGTCACTGGTGGTGCACTGGTTTCCGCTGTACTAGTCACTGGTGATGTACTGGTTTCCGGTACACTTTCCACCGTTGGCATTTCTGTTGGAAGCATTACTGGTGCACTCTCAACCGGTGTCGTACTGGTTTCCGCTGTACTAGTCACTGGTGGTGCACTGGTTCCCGCTGTAGTAGTCACTGGTGGCGCACTGGTTCCCGCTGTACTAGTCACTGGTGATGTACTGGTTTCCGGTACACTATCCACCGGTGGCATTTCTGGTGGTGGCATTACTGGTATCCTATAGCTACTCCCCATTACGTGGAATATACAGGACATCCACCCGAATACTAACACTTCCATATACATCGTGCAATAAGACGACGTTGTGATGGAGGAACCGTAGCATGTGACATACAGAGGAATCCTTTACAGCGGATAGTATTCACCGGTTGCGTTTGTTAAGAACACATTTAATTAAAAATTATTGATATCAAGGAATAAGAATACCAACCACGTACAACTCAGGCCGTGTAATAATTAAAGTGGAGAACCATTGTCATACAGACGTGCGAGCAACATCAATATTCTTACTTCAGCCACTTCATAAACAATATCTATGCGGTTACTACTCGACATATAGGACTTTTTTGGTTTGCTATGTGGGCAAGAATATTGTCACAAGTAATTGAATTACACTCAATTTTTGAAACGTTTCAATAAAACATAAGGTATGATTGTATTAACAATAAGTGAAGCAGTAATTTATACTAGTTCCTGATAGAAGCCATTGATTGTAATGTTAACTATTGACGTCATCGCCGAGAAAACACATTTTTACTTTATATTGATAGCTGATATGATTTGAATAGCTCGAAATACAGGGACCTGATAATTTGTTACAGCTATATTTGGACCTAAACTAATGTGTTCAGAGTAATTTTGCATGGTTTAGGGGTTTAGATCGACTTTGGTAAAAATGACACCCCCAATTATCATGGGTGTCATGTTGACGGAAAGTCGATCTAAACCACTAAAACATGCAAAATTACTCTGAACGCCTTAGTTTAGGTCCAACCATAGCTGTAACAAATGCTCAGGTGTATGTGGCTCGTACCATAAATACCTATAGACTCGCTCCTGTTTCGTTTATAGTTTCCGCTTTATCAGTGTTATGTGAACGAGGTTCACTCGAACTGTAACGATGTACCAGCTCTAGGGATGTACCGTCGGAATGTTCTTAACGCTGTGGTACAGCGTTCATAGCAGGTTGTATAAACGAAGTATGTGTCTCTTCCAAAGCTAGAAGTTAATCATCAAACATAATATACTCCTGAAGAATGGGTTAACCAACTTTCCCCCACAACCACTACAGGTTTCCTCACTTCCGACTCATTGGATAAACGTGCCAGGAGTTGGTAAACATTTTGCTTAGCCACTAGTGGGTAACACCCTGGACGTAAAATTGTTGGTTAATCTTCTTATTATGACATTAAGTAACAATGCGTTGCGACGTCATCTTTAATTATGACGTCATAGTTCCTGGCAATTGATTCCCCGATCGGAAACGGAAATAATGTAATTCCAAGAAAAAGGTCCTTTTTTAGATGTAATAGCCGAACGTTGTTGGAGAAATAGGTCCCCTTACTCGTGGTGGATGATTATCATTTATAAACAACTCTCGTGAGTAAATTTTTCCTCGAATTGTTAAAGGCACTCGGTTAACCTCGTGTCTTTGTGCAAATTGAAAATTAACTAACTCCAGTAACGTAAACATGATAACCACTACCACTCGCCTGTGTTTTTCAGATTAGGCCGTCAGCTTATTAACATACTCCGAAGTAAGCCCCACGGTAAATAACGATTTTAGATTACGTATACTAAGGTAATGCGCAATGCTAATAACGTCGTTAAAATACCGCCAGCGAGTTAACATCTATACTAAGGTAAGGCGCAATGCTAATAACGTCGTTAAAATACCGCGCAAGCCGCAATGCTAATAACGTCGTTAAAATACCGCCAGCTAGTTAACATATATACTAGGGTAAGGCGCAATGCTAAAAACGTCTTTAAAATACCGCCATCTAGTTAACATATATACTAGGGTAAGGCGCAATGCTAATAACGTCGTTAAAAATACACCAGCTTGTTAACATATATACTAGGGTAAGGCGCAATGTTAATAACGTCGTTAAAATACCGCCAGCTAGTTAACATATATACTAGGGTAAGACGCAATGCTAATAACGTCGTTAAAATACCACCAGCTCGTTAACATATATACTAGGGTAAGTCGCAATGCTAATAACGTCGTTAAAATACCGCCAGTTAGTTAACATATAAACTAGGGTAAGGCGCAATGCTTATAACGTCGTTAAAATACCGCGCAAGCCGCAATGCTAATAACGTCGTTTAAATACCGTCATCTTGTTAACATAAAAACACAACTATTGCTTAATAGCGTGCTATATAGCAGATTGGTGGAATGGGGAAAATGGCGGAAAAATCAATCCAGGAGGGTTGAAGATTAAAAGTGTCGTCAAAATACCTTGCATCAAATAGTCTACATCGATATAATATCCGGTGATGCAATGCTGACATCTTGGGCGTTTTCTCTCGGTCAATTTTAGGAAGGTTATATAGTTAGGAGTGATTTTTACTCCTCATTATCTGTCCTTACGTAAACTGACCAACAGGAAACGCACACGTACCAGCTATCATCCAATTTCACACAAAAAACTGGTTGGTAAGGTAAGCAATATTTCGAATGTTATGAGATAAAAAATATACATGTTGCATCGTAATATTCAGATTCGGTTTATAACACCTTTGACAAGCCGACTCTCCTGTTTCCATTCCAATGATTATGATTATGGAATGTAATACTTTTTATTTTCAAGAATGGTTTGAAATTTACTGTGAAGCATGTACTCTTCTGACGTTTTCATGTAGAAATCGAATCCGCATGAAGGGGAAGTAACTGTTTTAGGCACCGAAATGTCGTATATCGTAATTGGAACTATTAGATTATTTTTTAATATAACATCAAGTTTAAACAATAAAATATTCTAAAAGACTGTTATGAGTGAGTATTTTGTATTAAGAATGTCGGCGTAATCGGCGGGAAACATAAACAAAGAGCTGTCAATTTTTCATCCAACTGCGATAGCTACTTCTTCATCTGCCGAAATCTGTTTGTAAACATACACGAGAAAGGAGATACGATAGAAATGGGTAAGGTTAAGTTGAAAGTAGGGTTTAAAAGCCAAAAACAGCAAAATCGTCTTGAGATATTGTTTCGAAACTTGACAGCGAGACATCATGGTGCAGACGACACTTTCATGACTGCGTGAAAATGACGAGGGAAGATCAAATAGTGTAGCATACGATCATCAGTATATTTCTAGCGCTAGGCCGTTTACCACTGACATAATAATGGATGGTGATTTCAATGACCGAGAATTTGAGAAAGTCAAGAGTTGGAGAGAAGGCAGACGAGTGGTGGAGTTGGGGGTGCTGGCCGATGAACTGGCAGTCGGGTGGAGAGGATCATATAGATCCTGTATCGGAAAATAGACTAAATTAAACGACTAAACTTTCCTCCAGAAGTCTTTACTTAAGATACATGAACAGAATCCGTTAAGTCGGCTTGTCAAAGATGTTATAAACCGAATCTGAATATTACGATGCAACATGTATATTTTTTATCCCTTAACATTCGAAATATTGCTTACCTTACCAATCAGGTTTTTTTGTGTGTGAAATTGGATGATAGCTGGCATGTGTGTTTTTCCTGTTGGTCAGTTTAGTAAGGACAGATAATGAGGAGTAAAAATCACTCTTGACTATATATCCTTCCTAAAATTGACCGAGAGAATCACCGGATATTATATCGATGTAGACTATTTGTTGCAAGGTATTTTTCCGCCATTTTCCCCATTCCACCAATCTGCTATAATATATAGCACGCTATTAAGCTATAGTTGTGTTTTTATGTTAATAAGATGACGGTATTTTAACGACGTTATTAGCATTGCGCCTTACCCTAGTATATATGTTAACCAGCTGGCGGTATTTTTAACGACGTTATTAGCATTGCGCCTTACCCTAGTATATATGTTAACTATATAGCTAGCTGGTGGTATTTTTAACGACGTTATTAGCATTGCGCCTTACCCTAGTATATATGTTAACTAGCTGGCGGTATTTTTAACGACGTTATTAGCATTGCGCCTAACCCTAGCATATATGTTAACTAGCTGGTGGTATTTTTAACGACGTTATTAGCATTGCGCCTAACCCTAGTAATATGTTAACTAGCTGGAGGTATTTTTAACGACGTTCTTAGCATTGCGCCTTACCCTAGTATATATGTTAACTAGCTGGCGGTATTTTTAACGATGTTATTAACATTGCGTCTTACCCTAGTATATGTTAACATACGTGTGCTGTATTCTGTGACATTTCCAAAGCCCTTGATAGGGTTTGGCATAAAGGTCTTGTAGTGAAGTTGAAATCGTACGGAATTTCAGGTGAATTACTTATGTGGTTAGAAAATAATTGACTCAGAGACACCAAAAGGTATTTTTAAACAGTTCATATTCTTCTGTAGGTCTTATTGAGGTTCCGCAAGGCTCTATTCTTGGCCCACTTTTATTTCTTATGTTTATTAGCCCACCATCATCTGATGGTGGGCTATTCAAATCACCCTGCGTCCGTGGTCCGTGGTCCATGGTCGGTCTTTAAACAATTATTGTTATCGGTATTTCTCAGGAAGTACCAAAGGGATTTTTCTCAAATTTTATATGTAGGTTTCCCTTAGTCCCTTGCTGTGCAGTGCAACTTTTAAGACTGATCGGATAAACAACATGGCCGACAGGCAGCCATCTTTGATTTTGATAATGAAAGTTTGTTATCGCAATTTCTCGGGGAGTACCATAGGGATTTTTCTCAAATTTTATATGTAGGTTCCCCTTGTTCCCTTGTTGTGCAGCAGTGCCTGAAATGGACGGTCGCCAGATGTATTGTTTGTTTCGAATTCAATCGATATCGAAGAAGACTTAGATTTAGAATTTGATGGGAAAGTCTTAAACTTTACAGATAATCATACACATTTAGGGGTAACTTTTAATTCGAATGCAAAGTGGGGTATCATGTAAATGGAATTTACACTTCTGTTATGATTTATTTTTATGTCTTACGGAAACTGAAACACTTATTAAGTAGGGATGCTCTTTTATTAATTTACAAGACTTTTATTTTACCTGTTTTAGAATATGCTTGTGAGTTGTGGGACGGTTGCACTATTTTTGAATCGGAAAAAGTTAGAAAAAGCCCAACGTGAAGCTGCTCGCATTATATTAGGACTTCCTTCATATACCCCTATTTATTACGAAACTAGTCTTGAAACTTTATCTTATCGCAGAAAACGGAGGAAACTTCAACTATTGTATAAGATGCATAACAAATTAACTCCTGATTACTTCAATCACCTTTTGCCGAGAAAATAATCGTTACGTTTTACGTAACAATAATAACTATAGGGTTCCTCCTTTCAGACTATCTCTTACTAACTCTTCTTTTCTACCTTCTACTCTTCACTATTGGAATAACTTAGAAAATTCGGTTTGATCCCTACCATCTATTAATTCATTCAAATCCTGTTTAACATCAAATATTCAGTCAAGTCCACCTATTTACTTTAAAATCGGAAATCGTAAACTTAATATTTTGCATACTAAGCTCCGATACCAGTGCAGTTCCCTTAATTATGACCTTTTTAGAGTTAACCTTGTTGAGAGTGCATCTTGTAATTGTGGTCATCCTTGTGAGAGTGTCTTTCACTATTTTATGGAATGTCACCTTTTTACAAACGAAAGACGCATTTTGGTTCAAAATTTGATTAATTTGAATGTTGCGTTAAATTTAGAAATCCTTTTGTTTGGCAGTTCACAATTTTCCTTGAACCTTAACTCAAACATTTTTAGATCCGTGCAAAACTTTATTAAATCCAGCAAGAGATTTTGAGTTCAAATTGTAACAACAATTATATATATTTATTATTATTATTGTAATGTCATTTAAAATGTATATTGGGAAAAGGCGTTGATAAGTTGTTATAGCTTGTGCCTAATCCCTTGTCTAATTTTGGCAATAAATATGTTTAAACTAAAACTTTGCTACTAATCTATGTTTAATCAGTATCTTTTTTGGATGTCACCAGGTCGACATCTGTAGATCCGTTATCTTTCGTAAACTCGTTACAGCTATAACGAAACGTTACCCCGAATGAAAAAACGAAACTCAATTCTTTATCGATAGTGTAGTGGAAGTACAATATGGTAGGGTTCGTAATCAGATGAGAAGGTTGACGAGACAACGATACTACTGTGAAGTAGAAGTACAATATGGTAGAGTTCGTAATCAGATGAGAGGGTTGACGAGACAACGATTACACTGTAAAGTAGAAGTAAAATATGGTAGAGTTCGTAATCAGATGATAAGGTTGACGAGACAACGATACTACTGTGAAGTAGAAGTACAATATAGTAGAGTTCGTAATCAGATGAGAAGGTTGACGAGACAACGATACTACTGTAAAGTAGAGGCCAATTTTGGCTTGTATAAAGAGTCAGTGTTGGATTGTATATCTGAATGTAGGGATGATTGAATTAAATACAGAACAAACGACATTTTTTTCGCTAAACTATAATTTTATAAATGGTTAATAACGTTCATATTGAGAAATAAAATGAAGAAAAAACATCAATAAGTACATTATACAATCAATCGTATAAAACATTGACACATAAGTGAAATGAATACCATGAAATGCACAACAATTTTAAGATGAAATATAGCAGTGTAATTTAAAAACATTTGTTCTGTTATATATATGTATACATCAATGTTTTTAGAACAATCTTAATGAAACACTACAGTATATGGTACATGTGATGTCTCATACTTTTCGAACTTTAAATGATGTCTTTCATACTTAAACTTTCATTTTAGTTTTACAACTTAAAAAAAGTTCTGCAACTTTTCTTTAACACAATACAGATGATGTCTCTCATACTTAAACTTTAGTTTTAAAGAATATTTTAAACTTTCATCTAGTTTTACAACTTAAAATCATTTTAAACTTATTGAAACTCTCTTTTTAAACTTTTGTTTTCCTAATTGAAATTTATTTTTTCAGCTTAAAAGAATATTTTTATCTAGTTTTGATACTTATTGAAATTTTCTTTTAAAAACTTTGATTTGAAACATAAATTGTAGCAACATATACAAATGTACTCATCATGTATTTTTTATAATCAACATGTATCTATGAAGTCGCTTTAACTTTTAAACTCTGATTTATTTTTTCAATTTGAAATACATAATTATCATGTAATCTATATACATAGGAACATAGTTTTACAGTCATTTTTCCATTCATGACGACTTCTGTCTGTCTGTCTGTCAGTCTATTGGGTAAGACCCACCGATTGTCATCGACGGCACACAGACCCGACTTGTTGACGGCATAAACGTACAGTTGGTGTTTAACGCTTCTAATCGAATTCATTTTACACATTTTAAATTTGTTTTCAAAATAAACAGTTCCTGTACATTTCGTGTCTTAGATCGCGTCTGATGGTCGTCTTTGCAATGCCCTTAGCTACCTGTTTTTCTTTCATGGTGTTCCATAGAAAAGTGAGATTTTCTATTTCTATCCGTGTTCGCACGGCATAGACGTACGAGTACATTTTATTTCCTACAAACTCTGCAATGGGTTCGCTTCCCGTTTCGTCCTTGAAATACCCGGGTATCTTTTTGTTCTTTGTATCATGACAACGATGGTCGACCGGATAATTGGACAGATCTAACAGGTGTCTGTCCCGATACATGTCGTCGTAGACGTCTGAACGTGATACAAAAGACTGTCCGTGTCCGTCATGAGTAACTTTATTCCATCTCCATATCTCGGTTTTAGGTACTTGTAATAAAACTCGTACATGATACATTTCGACAGATCTAGAATGATCTGGCCTACATACACAGGTTTGTTCAATACTAGTTTGACTTTATCCTTCTGAATGGCTACCAAGTCTTCGTTAAAGATGGTGAATCTTTGAAAAGAAGGTCTTGCCACATACTTTTTGAAATGTTTATCCGTGTGTGCCAGCTTGTTTATCCGTGTGTGCCAGCTTGATATCGACTCTTGATCGCACGTTCTCCATCGTCTTATCGAACACGGCATTATTCATGAGTTTAAAGAAATCTTTCTCGAACTCGTTCTTACATGACGCTCTTTTGGACTTTTACGGGCGTAACCAAGGTTCTTTTGAATTCTAGGATTCTGTGAATTTTGGTGACTTTTAGACCCAATTCCACGTACAACTGTAGATTATATAATGACAGATGTATTTCGTCTTGTAATCAGTTTTTCTGTCTGAACACGCCCTTGTAATTTGTCATCGGTGTGTTTGGGGTTAGGATGTAAGGTTTTTGCTGTTTGCTGGTCGGTGACAATTCTTTGTCGTGGAGATTTTCGTGGAGTTCGTCTGGGTATTCTAGATCTGGTTCTAGTACGTACCCCAACTCTCCGTCTTGGGTGACTGGTTATGTCAAATGTTTGTGGGGTTTAATTTCAACCCATTGACACCCTCCCACGGGTAGCGATTCCGACATGGCCTCCCCGTACAAGTTATTGCAATCCGTATACACGATGTACGAGTGTGGTTGGGAGAGGTCGTACGTTTCTGGAATGTATAGATTGTTAGCTTGAGCGTATTTTTTAGAGATCATACTAACGCGTCCTCGTACCCCGTTTTCTAAGAAGAGATACATGTCTGGATCACTAATGAGTTCTAACCTCACTTCCGTCATGTTCAAGGCTGCACTCCAAGCCAGACCTGGATTAGTATAGAAGTGAGCTGCATCTAACCCGTAATATTCCAGGCACATGTTTCTGAAAAAGAAATATGTATATAGATTACATGATAATTATGTATTTCAAATTGAAAAAAAAAATAGAGTTTAAAAGTTAAAGCGACTTCATAGATACATGTTGATTATAAAAATTCGTGATGAGTACATTTGTATATAATGCTACAATTTATGTTTTAAAAAACATTGAAAGTTTAAGAAAAAAATATTTTAAAAATATTTTAAAAATATACAGTTTCAAAATCAAAGTTTTTAAAAGAAAATTTCAATAAGTATCAAAACTAGATAAAAATATTCTTTTAAGTTGTAAAACTAAATGAAAGTTTTGAATATTCTTTTAAGTTGTAAAACTAAATTTCAATTGGGGAAAAAAAGGTTTAAAAAGAAAGTTTCAATAAGTATCAAAACTAATTCAAAGTCTAAAATATTTTTTAAGTTGTTAAACTAAAAGAAAGTTTTAAATATTCATTTTAGTTGTAAAACTTAAAGTTAAAGTATGAGAGACAACATCTGTATTGTGTTAAAGAAAAGTTGCAGAAAATTGTTTCAAGTTGTAGACCTAAATTTGAAGTATGAGTGACATCAGTTAAAGGTTGAAAAGTATGAGAGACATCACGTGTACCATATACTTTAGTTTGATCTGAAATCAATAAGATCACATGTTTTTAAATAACACTGCTATGTGTCATTGTTGGGTATCCATTTCACTTATGTTTCAATGTTTTATGCGATTGATGTTGTGTATTCATTTTATTTCTCAATATGAATTAATAAAATTATAGTTTAGCGAAAAAAAATCGTTTGTTCTGTATTTAAGTCAATTCTCTTTACATTCAGATATACATTCCAACACCGACTTTTTCTACACTGCAAAATTAGCCTCTACTTCACAGAAGTATCTGTGAAGTCAACCTTCTCATCTGATTACGAACTCTACCATATTTTACTTCCACTACACTATCGATAAAGAAAAGAGTTTCGAATTTTTTTTATTCGGGGTAACGTTTCGTTATAGCTGTAAGGGGTTTACGAAAGATGACGGATCTACATATGTCGACCGCGTGACATCCAAAAAAGATCCTGATAAAACATAGATTAGTAGCACAGTACGATCTATCTCTTAAAATGACATCCCCGTTTGAATCAATGATTCATTTAGTCAAACGTTTTTGATACATATTTAGATAAACAAATTGGATGTGGAGGCTAAGGAGACATCGATACAATGATTCCATTTTGTAACTTGTAGTTGAAGTGGAGGTGGAGAAGAAGGTTGATAGAAGCCCGTGCCGACTGAGAAGTCGATTCCTCTGACTTTACGGACTGAGAAGTCGATTCCTCTGACTTTACGGACTGAAATAGTCGAAATCCTCAGGATTGTGCTTTACATCTACTCACGTCTGACTTTGATAATCAATCTTTTATCAATGTTTTAATTTTCATACAAATCAAAATACTCCATTTTTTAGTTCAGTGATGTTTTATTGTAATAATTATATTTTATTGTTTTTATAAATCAAAATACTCAGGGTGATGTGTATCCATTTTTAGTTCAGTGATGTTATAACTATAATGTGATAATTACTGTTTAAATATTTTTTTTATAAATAAAAACACTCAGGGTGATGTGTGTCCATTTTTAGTTTATTTTTTGTAATGTATCTTTAATGTTCTAATCAATTTGTTTTTCAATGTTTAAATATCTATGTTTTATTGAGATATTTTATTGTGATTACATTATTATTTATACCAATGTTCGCATATCTATATTTTACTGTGATTTTACCAATGCTTAAGATATATTTTAATTATACATATCAATCATATATCGGAAAAAGTTTGTGTTTTTTATTTACTGTACTAAATAAATGTTTAGCTTTGAAAACTGTTATTTCTTTATTATTCTAATGCAACTTTTAGGAATAGGGTCTGCTCATGCGATTCAGTGACATATATTTAAGGACTTCCAGTCCTTTAATAGTATTAGACAGTGACATATATTAAAGGACTCCCAGCCCTTTAATAGTATTAGACAGTGACATATATTGAAGGACTTCCAGTCCTTTAATAGTATTAGACGGTGACATATATTTAAGGACTTCCAGTCCTTTAATATTATTAGACAGTGACATATATTTAAGGACTTCCAGTCCTTTAATACTATTAGACAGTGACATATATTTAAGGACTTCCAGCCCTTTAATAGTATTAGACAGTGAAATATATTTAAGAACTTCCAGTCCTTTAATAGTATTAGACAGTGACATATATTTAAGGACTTCCAGCCCTTTAATAGTATTAGACAGTGACATATATTTAAGAACTTCCAGTCCTTTAATAGTATTAGACAGTGACATATATTAAAGGACTCCCAGCCCTTTAATAGTATTAGACAGTGACATATATTTAAGGACTTCCAGTCCTTTAATAGTATTAGTTACCTTGACAAACATTGACTGGTGCTGGTTTTCCCAATCCTCCTACATCCCATGTTTTGAAATGTAGCTTTTTACCAAATGGATGCCTTAGTTATGTATGATGTCGTGTGTATGCCGGAGTAAGTAGAACACTCGATGGTTAGACTATTGAAAATGGTTTACGCACTTGATTCAGTTAACAACTTTACCGTGTACTATATGAACGTTACTTTCTGAAGAATTCAGTCGTTATCATCTCTCAATTAGCAACAAAGTTGTCACCCTCTGTTGACTTTTGCGATTTGTTCTCACGAATAGCAATGTTACAAGGTTCATGTGATGAAAAAAATGGTATACACTGCATATCACATGTTTTCTTTATTAGATGTGTCTGTTGAAATGCCGTGCTGAAACAGCATTCTATTTACGGGTACTGCTGATTATAAAAACTATTCTTGTTCTCATGGGCTTGTTTTTTTTATTGCTTAACGTTCCATCAACAGCTAAGATGATTTGAGGACGGTCTTCCGGTAAAAGTGTTGGATACATTAACAACAAATCAACTCTGTTCATTATAACAATTTCTAGTATTGTATGGACTTTAATTTAAATAAAAGAAATGTCTTTTGACTCCCATCTCCATTTATCATAGCTACCAATCAAGTCATAGCCGATGCTTGAGTGATTGACGGTTATGATTGTACAGGCTTTGGACTGTCTGGCATATAATGTCAGGCTAGATTAGAGTCAACCGTCCGTCCGTCATCCGTCTCTCCTGTTAACCATACCGTATCAAAAGTTTTTCAACTCCTTCCTCATAGGGTACGTTCTTACTGAGACACGTCAGCTTCACCAACCGACGCGTCTCGCATACCATAGAGGGAGAAAGCATTTGCCTTCTCTCTATCCTCTCCACGAGGAAGTGGTGCTCCCTCTCATAAAAGGGAGTATTTACATGTATATCCTCTGTGTGTGTTGCCACACAGAGTTTGAGCTCTTTATGTGGCGCTGCATCCCATGCAGCCCTAATTTGTGAAGGAGCAAGATGACTAGTCGAATCCTTTCTAGACATTTAGGACGTGCTTCACCAACCATGTTGATCTAGAAAGTGAGTAGAATTGTGGCTGTGTATGTTATTTTAAACCTTAGTATCCTAAAGTATATAAGTATGGATACGGAATATTTACTCTTATCTTTTTTTTT